GTACATTTCTCAGTACTGCCTGTCCTTGGGTGACACATGACTGTACTGTAAAAAAAAAATTATTACATTGTGTTGTCTGGCATCAAAACTATGATTAAGCTTTTTTGGTTTTGTTTCTTTTTCTTTATCAGCGGATACAAAGTTACATTAATTTAATTATATTTACGTGGTTATTGTAGTTATACACATAGAAGGTTGTTCATTTGGCAATCTCATCAGTCCAGAAACTATTAAATTTGGGACTTTATTTATTTATTCATTTATTTATTTAATTATTGGTTTTTGGAGACAGGGTTTCCCTGTGTAGCCCTAGCTGTCTTGGAACTCACTCTGTAGACCAGGCTGGCCTTGAACTCACAGAGATCCACCTACCTCTGCCTCCCAAGTGCTGGGATTAAAGGCGTGTGCCATCACCATTCGGCTGGTTTTATTATATATTATTTATCTATATCAGTTTTAATTTTCTTCTTCCTTCTTCTTTATTTAGACCGAGTCTCATGTGATCCATGGCTGAAAATTTTCTATATATCCTGGGATGGTCTTTAATTTCTGATCTGCTTTCTCTACCTTTTTAAAAGAAAGATTTCTTTTTTTTTTCTTTTTAACTCTGTGTGTGTGCTGCATTTGTGTGTGTACGTGGTGATGTGCTTGTGAATGTGGAGTGCAAGGGAGCCAGCAGCATCAAACCCTCCAGGATCTAGAGTTACATGTCAATCAACTGCCTGATGAAGGTGCTGGAAACTGAACTTGGGTCCCCTGGGAGAGCAGTAAGTGCTTTTAACAACTGAGATATCTCTCCAGTGCTACCACCATGCCTTGCCTTGAGTACTGGGATTATAGCTGTGTGACCTGTGCCTGACCAATTCTATTTTTAAGGCTAAAACTAACTCTTGCGTACTGCTTTCTATCCTCCTAACACTTCCATTTTCTCCTGTAGGATTATCTGTGTTGTACTAAGAAATACATATAAAAATATATGATGACTCAAACACACACACTGAGCTGAGCACTAAAGACCTGTTTATTCATTTATATATAAATTAATTTATAATATAATTTATATATAAATTATATATATAAAAGAAGCTATGGAAAAGACTATGCTTTTTTCGCGATGGCAGGTTAGGTGTAGAATGTTATGGTGTGCAGGTTTTTATTACACCCTTTTATTTGCTTAACCCTCCTAAACAACCCACAAATCAAGCCATAGATGTGTTCTGTAATCTATAAGCTGAAACTCGTGTTTATTAGCCAAGCACAGTCACCATTCTCGGGAACGCTCACTTGAGCCTTTTGACGTGAAGTCCCAGAGCTGTCACTGCTGTTCGTTCACAAAGCAGCCCAGTGATGTGTATTCACGTGTATAGCCGTGGTCCATTTGCTTCCGTGGCAGCAGGACACTCCACTGAGTAATCCTTTATTGATGGGCATTAAGGACGCTTCTAGCTTTTTAAAATTAAAGAGAACATGAATGTGATAGCGATATAGAAATAAATTCCTGAGAGTGGAAAGTCTATGCCAAAGGTGTAAACAAGTGAAAGATCCATTGCTAAGATATTCTATCAAAAATTATCAAATGTATCTCTTCTTTTCCCAAGAGCATATGAGAACTCTCATTTCCCCACGCACAGAGTTAGTCTGTCCTCCCACCCCCAAGCAAACAAATTAAATAAATCAGCCAATAAACATCACATTAAGCTATTTTAATGAACATTTCTTTCCTGAGTTACATTAGTGTCTTCAATACACACACACACACACACACACACGCGCGCGCGCGTTTTAATCAGTTATCACTATAAAGTGGGGAGAATGATGTGGAAAGATGCAAAGAGGCAGAAATACAAATTTCTCTGCATTGAGGTCATTGGTGAGTGCTCCTTGCTTGGACAGGCCAGCAGAGAGAATTTATCGAACTTTTCAAATTAGCTTCATAAGAATGTTGCATTTTATTCTTTAATTATTTGACAGCTTGCCATGGCCTCCTCTGTTACTTTTTAATGTCAGCCTTTAAAAAAGCAATTTTATTTATTTTAGTGGTGTTTTTTTTGAGACAGGGTTTCTTGCTTGTTTTGTGTATGTGTTTGTATATGTGATGCAAATGCATATGTGTGTGTTTGCATGTCTGTAAGCATATATATAGTGCATGTGTTGGTGTGTGTGTACTTGTATGTGTTCATGTTAGGTCAGAAGTTGATGTCTGGGTGTTTGCATGTCTGTCAGCATACATACCGTGCATGTGTGCTTGTATGTGTTCATGTTCATAACTTGATAACTGGTATCTTCCTTAATCACAGAACATTTTATCTACTGAAGCAGGGTCTCTCACCGAACCTGGAACTCACCGGTTCAGCTAGTCTATTTAGCCAGCTTGCCAGGTAGAATCCCCTAGTTCTGCCTCCTGAGCACTGGGATTGCAGGCAAGCTGCCACTCCACCAGGCTTTATGTGGGTGCTGGGGATCGGGAATTTGGTCCTTAGGTTTGTGCACAAGAAGCATTTTATCCACTGAGCCATCTCTCCAACGCTAAGCCCCATGTGTCACAGGATGGCTATGCTTGTGGGCCAGTATGAGAAACAAAGACCCTCTCTTCATTCTGAGAACCATGGATATTCAGAGTATAAAAGTAAGGCAGTTTATCTTACAACTTTGCAACGTCAGACATCATCCCAGAGTGGTGGGCACAGTGGGTGAGCAGAGAATGGTTTGTGAACCCTGAATTCATGACCCTCCTCCATCTCCTCATTAACTGGGCAATCAGGAGGGTATAACGTTAGACACATCTAGGTCTTAACTTAGCCTCTGTCGATTACATATGTCCTTTCTGCAACAAAAATGATGCGTGGCTTCATCACTACATTTTACATCCAGTTTATTTTAAAGCTTATCATGAGTATGACCTTGCAGGCAAGCTTAGCTGTTAGTAATTTTCTACTCCAAACTTCTAGTATATTTATTCATTTATTTATTTTGTGGGGAGGATAGCTAAACTAGCCTACATTTCCAAGAGTCTAGTGTTTTCTGTTCATTTGTATCTGGACATACACTAGTTCAAGATACCTTTGAAAATAAACCATCAGATTTTATTTTCTTCACCTAAGACCCTTTCTCAAAAAAAGAAAAAAAATACATTATATAATTGCTATGAATTAGAATATTTTTCTTTCACCAACCTCGGTTATCCTAAAATATAGATTTGATAGGAAAAGCAGGATAAATGCTTTATTTCTCTCTTTATTAATTTTATAATGAATGAACAGATTTCAGCAATTTCTAAGAGTGACCAATTATCATTGAGAATACCAGCTTTTATATATTTGATGTAGTTCAATAGCGTTGAATAATTTTAATCCAAACTAATTGAAATGAAAGCTGAGTTCCAGTTCTTCTTAGACACTGAGTGTCTGATTTCTGTCATCTCGGAAACGCTTGGGATTCCTTGGAGGGTTCAGTCCCCTGACTCAGCTTGCAGCTCAAAGAACCACAAGGCAGCAGAGTCTTGCACGGACTCCCTCCGGTTCGCTTTTCTGCCCTGCACTGAGACTCTGAACTTTATTTTGTGCTAACATCAGTGATCGAGCTTACACAACTGAAGACTTTGGACATGACCAGGCAATCATAGTCTTTATTGGCTGAAAAGTCCTCGTGTGTTGTACAACTGTAGTTTGAGTTAAAACCTTCAAATAAAACTGGGCCCGTGGTGCAGGCTTGTAATCCCAACCACCCAGAAGGGCAAGGCTGGAGGATGTCAAACCCGAAGCCAGCCTGGGCTCCAGAGTGCACGGAGGGCAGGCCAGGGAACTTTGAGACACCTTGATTGAAAAAGTAAAAGGAAGGCTGGAGATGGTGCTGGGGGCAGAGCACCTGTCTAGTGTACACCAGGCCCCAAACTTCAAACTCCAGAACCCCAAAGAGCAGTTTGAATCACAGGGAATGTGAGAAGACACCTCAGAGTGGGAGGTGCGGTGGCAAAGCACTTGCCACACTTGAGGAGAGAACCAGTTCCTGCAAGTCCCTGTCCTCTGAGTGCCCCACTCACACTGTGATATGCTAGTGTATGCGCGCGCGCGCACACACACACACACACACACACACACACAGAGGGTGATGTGTGTAAAACATTTTAAAAAGCATCATATGAACTCAAAAACCCTAGATCTTCATTGGTAAAATAATAATTTTGGGGTGTGGCTAGGTATTGCTAGGCACCGCTATTCTAACATTTGATAAAGGGGAAAAACATTTATACTTCTTTTCCTGCACAATCTATATTTCAGAGTAATTTACAAAGTTGTGAGAAAAATACAAAATGTGTATCTATTGGATTAGTGGATCTGAAAACCTTTGATAAACATTTCTTTTACCTATTTAGGGCAACACTAAGGGAGGCTGCATCAAAGGAATTAAGAAGTAAGGAGCCTGCAAAGACTGCAAAGCCTTCTGCGTCTAAGATTACATCCTGGCTTCAAAATGTTCTGGAGCCATGGCCGCTGGGACGTGCAGGGAGTGTAGAGAACTGAGTCAGAGTCTCTAGCAAATGAGCAAACCAGCCTCGGGGACTGGCTATGGTGGACCAGAAACTCAGCGCCAACCAGCGCGTTCTTTGAAGAGCGGCTTTATTCCTCCTAGGAGTTGGGGAGGAGCCTCGGGAGCTTGGGGCGGGGACTGACGACCGGGGAGGAGCTTTGGGGGTTAGGGGCGGGGCTTAGGAGTCAGAGGCGGAGCCTCGGGCGGGGGCGGGGCGGGCCCCTGGGATTGCACGCTGACGCGTGGCTCGCGGCTGCGCTCTGCTGGCGCGCGCAAGCTCGAGCGCCGGTTAGCCCGTGCGTCGACGACGACGCTGCGCGTGCGGCGTTTGGCATCAGCGGCCCGGAGGGGCTTTTCCTCTTGGCTCTAGTTTTGTTGTTTTAAACTCCCTACCGCGAAAAGCAAGCAAAAGGCGTGCGGATAAAGGGAAACTAGAGGAGGAGATTACTATAACCCTCGAGTGAGGGGCGAAGATGGAGAAAGGTGCCCAGGCTTCAGAGTGTGACAGTGATGAAACAGTGATTGAGGGGTCGGTGACAGAGAACGAACTGGAAGATGAGGAGCTGCCCTGGAGAAGGTGACCGCCATTAGGGCTAGAACTCTTGCACCGCTGTCGTCGGGCTAGGCTTTCTATAGGTTTGAGTGGAAATGGCCGCCAGTAGGCGCCTTGGGGGACAACCGTGTTAAGAATTTACAAATATCTGGAAACAAAATGATGGTAGTGGTTTTATGGCAAAAAAAAAAAAAAAAAAAAAAAAACCTCCCTTGCACTGGGGCTAAGTACTTTGGACAAGGACCCCTTAACCTGAACTTATCTCTGGCCGAAGGGATAGTTCTTAGAATTTCTTTTAAGAACTCTAACGGGGAAATAGGTTTGTATCAAACTGAAACGTGTTATGAGAATAAGAAAGTACGGGGCTGGAGAGTGAATGGGTGGTTAAGAGGACCCAGGTTCAATTCCCAGCACCCACAGACAGCTCACGACTGTCTGTAACGCCAGTTCCAGGGAACCTGACACCCTCATGGAGACACACATGCAGGCAAAACACCACCGCACATAAAAAGTAGAAATACTTTGTTTTTTTAAAAAAAAGAATAAAAAATATTTCAGCTTATCAGAACCTTTCTTGAACATATCCTCAGTGTTAGGTGCAGGAACAAAAAGGTTGGAAAAAATGAGGCCACTACCTTTGAGAAACCTAGGCCTGGAGAACCATTTGAACAGCTAACTTCATAATAATGTGTGGAGTCTAAGTGTGTGGGTTTAGCAGGCCAGAGGAACTCCTACCTCAGGCAATGTAGCTGTTTATCAGAGTTTACTATGGTTGACTTCTGAGTAGAAGCTTGAAGGTGACATAGGAGTTTGCCATGTGACGAAAAGGTACTCCAGGGTAAGGAAGCTGAGGTATGTAGGTGTAGAGAGGTGGAACATAGCATCGAGTTATTCATTTTGAGATATATAGGCAGTTATATCTTTCAGAATTGTGGAATGGGCGTGGAGTGATAAGAGGGGATCCAGGTGAGGTTAACCTTGGTAGGATGCTTTCGCAGTTTTAAGTGGAGGAATATCCTAGTCAGATTTCTGTTTACCCTGCGTGCATTAGACTAAGGCTTTACATTTTCATGTGCTGTTGAGTCACCTGGATCCTGTTAAATTGTAGATTCCTGTAGTGATACAAAGGAGTTTTGCTTTCTTTTATGTTGGATTTGTTTAACTCTGTGAAGTTGTGCTACTTTGCCTGTCTAAAACACCCGATCCGTCAAATAAAGAGCTGACCGGCTAGTAGCTAGGCAGGAGAAAGTACAGGCAAGACTGGCAGGCAGAGAGAATAAATATGAGAAATCTGGAAAGAAGAGAGATCTAGGCTTGAGAGGAGGAGACCTCCAGGGTCCAGCTATACAGCAAGCCCCTTAGTAAGAAGTAATGAAAGGTATTTAGGATAAAGATAAAAGCCCAGAGGCAAAAGGTAGACAGGATAATATAAGTTAAGAAAAGTTGGCTAGAAATAAGTCAAACTAAGGCCTGGCATTCCTAAGAAAGAAAAAGCCTCAGTATGATTTATTCGCCCCCAAAGTGCCAAAGAGAAAACAGTAAGAAAAACCAACTATAGATTCCAGTTCAGGACTTGAGGTTGTAGGTTAAGATCCTGTATTTATAATGCGTGTCCATTTAAAGCTCTTACTGTAGTGCCCGAGTCGTGGAGACTCCAAGAAGACCACCAGAGACTCAGACTCACCAAAATGCAAGAAGCAAGGTTTAATTCTGTGGTACAAATTGTGATAGGCTCCTCATCTCGCACTCTGACGCAGCAGGGGCCAGAGGAGGTGGCCCACTGTTCTTAGGTAGGGTTTATAAAGGCAGAAAACCACAAATCCATTGTTATGGGCCTAAAGGGTACAGGTGATTCTCTGATTGGTTCCAGTCTAGGGAATTTCCCGCTCTGCTGCTATAAACCTTGGGGCCTAGCACAAAATGGAGTTGATTTTGTCCCTTCTTCCCCATCCCCTTCTTTTTTTTTTTGTTTTTTTGTTTTTCGAGATAGGGTTTCTCTGTGGCTTTGGAGCCTGTCCTGGAACTAGCTCTATAGACCAGGCTGGTCTCGAACTCACAGAGATCCGCCTACCTCTGCCTCCCGAGTGCTGGGATTAAAGGCGTGCGCCACCATCGCCCGGCTTCCCCATCCCCTTCTTGTAGATTGACCCAAACATGGGTCTTTTATAGTTAGCTCATAGGTATCTTCTGTCCTGAGGGGTCTATAGTTCTGAGAGTGCTGCACCATAAGTTGGATGGTCCCCAATCATTCCTTCATAAATTGGACTAGTCTATTGAGTGTACATGGTCTGAAAGTCAGCAGTAACAGCAAGATAACCAGGGGTCCTGTCAGAGTAGAGATGAAAGTAGTTAACCAGGGTTTAAACCATCCTTGGTTGGCTTCCCTTTCTCTCTTTCTCTTTTTAAGACCCTCCCACACATTGGCCATGATATCCCTTAGAAGTTTCAAATGGTCTACATAGAAACAGCATTCTTCTTCCAGGGCTGCACAGTCCTCCCTGCTGTAAAAGGATTAGGTCCAGTCCCCTTCTGTTTTGTAAAACCATTTCAGCTGGTGAGGAGAGGGAATGCTGCGAGTGGGAGGCTGAGGTCTCTAGGCGTTCTATGTCAACATCTATAGCTTCTCTCAAAGCAGAGTAATGTTCACTTTGGGACAGAAGAGAGGCAGTTCCTGTCCCCAACCCTGCGAGGCTTGCTCCCAGGAGGATGCTGAGTGTAAGGGTGCTCATGGGCTCCCTTTTTATTCTAGTCAGACCAGCATCCTGCCCCACTCTATCTAGGAGACCTTGGTAGTCATGGTAAAGGAGCCGGGGTACCAGTCTGATGAGGACACAGTATCCTTTGGAGTCCTTTAGAACTATAGTGTGTACACAAGGAGTTAACCTAGAGGAGCACGCCCACCAGGTGTCATTGTGGGGATTAGGTGCCTTGCAGTGGTTGTGATGGGGATGAGTTGAATTGCAAAGAAAAGCTTGGCAGTGGGAACTTTACCTATGCAAAGCCCTTGTCCTGTTACCTGTTCCAGGGTTAGAGTGTGTTGTGAATACCAGCAACATTCATCAGACTTCGCCACTTCTCGAATAAGGCCTGGACAGCAATTCTCTCATAATAAGGGGGAGCCACGTCTTAACAGAGCCAACAAGAGTTGGTTAGGGTTGGCCTTGAGGAGTTTAGAACCACATAAGTCTTAGTCAGAAGCTCCAGGAGGGGATGCTGTTCTGGCACCGAAGGCTTGGTAATAGCTAAAGCATCTGGGGCCCATGTTTTAGGTGCAAGTGTGGTTAGAGTTAGCGCTGAGGCACGAGTCTCTTTGTGGGTGAGGAAGTAGGATTTGGGTTCAATGCCTTATTGGGGCCTATTATTGCTGGTTTTATTAGCTCTATCTTAAGTCGAATTACAAGGGTGGTCGGGGCATGTTCCCCATATCTGTAGTATATTACACTCCAGTGTAGGCCTGATGACCGTCATGTGTCCCATCCTCCCTCACAGTGAAAGTAATCTTATCTGGTCTAGGTCACCTGTCCTGCAGGGTTTGTCAGGCTAAGGAAGAGGGGGGACACATACCAGATAGGTCTTATATATTTAAAAGTGACTAAGTCTGGTCTACTTACAGACCATCTCCATTCCCTATTATTAGAGGTGACACAGTCCCGACTTTTGCAGAAGGAGAATTCTAGGTCTCCACACTGTTTCTATTCCTGATGTGACCTGGGCACATCTAAAAACCATACTTCCTGGCCTCCGCCTAGCCTCCTGCTCTATAGATGTGGTTCAGGTCACAGAAGCAGAAATCTAGGTCAGGCGACAAGGTGTTCAGTGGGGCCGCACGGGTAGTCTGGTACAGAGTTTTGTATGATTCTCCATCCTCAAGAACCCAAGTCAGTTTAAAGGGTACGTGGGGGTTGACTTCTTTAGCAGGAGCAGAGGGAACCAGCATCAACATCAACAGGATCAGGAACGATGCTTGAGCCAGACCTTAGGGGGTTTGTGGGGTGTTTGGATGCCTCCCAGGTCTCGCTTCGATAGTCCTCTTGTAGGCGAAGGGATCACTGGGTGGGCATGTGAATAATGGACCCAAGAGGCGATGTCATCCACCTTGAGGGCTGTTGGTGTTGTCAGAACAACCACGTAGGGCCCATTCTATCTTGACTCCAGCAATTTTGGGTGATGCCTCCGGATAAAACCCCAATCTCAAAAAACAAAACAAAACAAAACAAAACAAAACAAAACAAAAAAAAAACCAATCTCCAGGCCTGAATTTAGGAGGGGTTGGAACAGAGGTGGGTTCATAAATCGCCCTAAGCTTAGGCCATATGGTTTTATGAACCGATTGGAGCCGCTGCATGGCGTTGAACAAGTCCTGATCATCTAAGTCAGCAGTCAGGTCAGTTTGTAAGCTAGGAATCATGGGGGGAGAGTGCCCACACATAATTTCAAAAGGGGTCAGACCCATTTGATAGGGGCATTTCTGACTCTAAAAAGGGCAAAGGGATGGAGAGTTGCCCAGCCAGTGCCAATCTCCAAGGCCAGTTTAGTCAAGGTCTCTTTTAGGGTTCTGTTCCTTTCTACCTGCCCTGAGCTCTGGGGGTCTATATGCACAATGAAGTTTCCAGTCAGCCCCCAGTATAGTGGCTAGTCCCTGCTTACCTGAGAGATGACGGCAGGGTCATCATCTGACCCTGTCATGACTGGGAACCCACGCCTAAGCAAGATTTCTTCAATAGCTTCTTTGCCACCACCGTGGCTGTTTTGTGCTTGGTGGGGAACGCTTCAGTCCACCCTGAAAAAATATCTATAAACACTAAGAGATATTTGTATCCAAATTTTCCAGGTTTGATTTCAGTAACGTCTACATCCCAGCACGTACCTGTTCTGGAATGTCAGAGTTCTCCACTGACATGCTCCTAGGTTGGAGGGGGTGCTCACCACATTTGTCAGCTGGCATGTCTGGCTTTGTGTCACTATCTGTTCAATAATCTGGCCACCATCTTGAATTTTGACCTGAACCCTTCACAATAGGTCCTGCATTCTACGTGTTCCCAAGTGTGAGGAGTGGTGTATTTTTTCAGTATCTCGTGTCCCAGTCTTTGGGCAGGATGACTCTCCCATCAGCAGTTTTCCGCCATTCCTCTATTCGCTGACCATGGGGAGAGTGTGTATCCAGCTAGATCTTCAGGTGTGGAGTGGGGGATCTGTGCCAGGCCCCTGGCTCCTGGGTCACTTAAAGTCACCATAGCCCTGGGGGCTGAAGCCACCTCTTTTGCTGTTTTAGCAGCCAGATTGTTTCCCAGTTGTATTGTTCTGGAGCCTTTTTGGTGTCGGGGCAGTGTATTATTGCCAACTTTGTGGGCCCCTGCAATGCTTGTAGGAGATCCAGAATCTCCTGTTTGTTTTTAATAGTTTTTCCTTCTGCTGTTAGCAACCCCTTCTCCTGGTAGATAGCCCTGTGGATGTGGGCTGTGGCAAAGGCATACCTGCTGTCTGTGTAGATGTTTAGCTTTTTGTCTTTCCCCATCTTTAAGGCTTTTGGAAGGGCTATTAACTCTGCCTTTTGTGCTGAATGTGGCCACTTCTGAAATCAAAGGTTACAGACAAACAAAAGACAGGGAAAGCTCTGTAACTCACCCCCCTAGCTGACTTAAACCTTTGGGATCTTGGGGTCTCTGGGGAACCTGGGACGAGCCCCCAAATGTAGTGCCCAAGTCGCGGAGACCCCAAGAAGACCACCAGAGATACAAACTCAATGAAATGAAAAAAGCAAGGTTTAATCCTGTAGTACAAATCACGATAGGCACCTCTCTCACACACTGATGCAGCAGGGGCCAGAGGAGGTGCCCCACCATTCTTAGACAGGGTTTATAAAGGCAGAAAACCACAGATCTATTGTTTTTGGCATAAAGGGTACGGGTGATTCTCTGATTCACTCCAGTCTAGGGGACTCTCCACTCTGCTGATAATCAACCCCAGAGCAGCTGGGCTGCAGTCTAGGGAACTTCCCGCCTCCTGATATCTACCTTGGGGCCTAGCACAAAATGCAGTTGGTTTTGTCCCTTCATTACTAATGAAGCAAGGACTCCCTTCTGCTAAGCCAGGTTGGAGAGCTTAGGTTTAGGACCAATTACAGACTGGGATGATGAGAGAGAGACCAGGTAGTGTAGTGGGGATGGCTGGAATAGTACACCTTTGTAAAATCTCAGCACGCGTTTGGTAGGAGATGCTGACTGATGAGGTGTGGGGGCACTGAGTGAAGGCTGTAACGAATAATATCCAGATTGCTGCTGCTGCTTCTCCTCCCTCTTTCTCTCCTCTCTGCTTCATTCATCTTCTAGGGTCTCACTTTATAGCCCAGGCTAGCCTTAAGTTCACAATGACTCTGCTGAGATTATATATGTGCACCATCACTCTCATTTTTAAAATGTATACACAAGAAGTATTTACTCTTGTTGGAACACAGGTAATATTTTAATAAATGCATGGAGTTTCATAATCTGCCATCCTAAAAAGTGGCTTGTGTTGTCTCTTAACTGGCTGTGTTGCCCCCATCTCTTTGGATTATTGTTCTCTAACGTGAACTATTTTTTCACCTCCCATCCTTTTTCTTATCTTGGATTCTCAGCAGTATCATTATGATATTTTCCGTTTATTTGTTTTCAGTCATCCAAGCTTCTTGAAGATGTAAATGCACTCACTCTATTTAGGAAGTTTTCTCTATCATGGTTTCTTTAAATAGTCTTTTCCTATCCTAATCCAATTTCCTTTTTAAAGTTATTGTATATGTATGTGAGCGAATGATATCTGTGTGGGTGCATTTGCTGTGGCAGATGTGTGGAAGCTGGAGGACAATTCTTGGAGTCCATCTTTCCCTTGTGCCTTTACTTGGGTTCTGGAGATGGAATTCAGGGTCGGCAGGCTTATGTTGCTGGCACTTTGACTTGCTGAGCTATTTTGCCAGCTCCAGTATATTTTCTTTCACTCTCTTTTTGATGTGCATTTGATCTTGATATATGGTTTCTCAAATCTCTGAACTTCTATTCTTTTTTTTTTTATCCTGGAGAATCAGACCATATAGTTTTTCATACTTTATCTTTAGGTTTATTCACACCCCCCACTTAAAAAAAAAACAAGGTGTTTCTGTCTTCCATATGCTGGCTTTGAGCACAAGGTGCTCCGGCATTAGCCCCCAGCACTCGCATTATGTATATTGAATACCTCACTTGACAGAACTAGCCTGAAAGGTAGGACACACTAGCACTGTATTCATGTGGTGATCAAGATAACCTGCGGGAAGGTTGGAGCCAGGAAGAAAGCATAGGAGACATAGGCTTAACTAGTCACTTTAGTATTAATATTAACAGACATAGACATAAATAGCTCACAGAATAACTGTTTTGATTGAGATATACACCAAAATAGGGTTCTACCTCTGATGAAGATAGAATGTTGTCAAACACTGTTTTGGGGCCATTATGTTGAAAGCATGTTTTAATTAGATATTTTTAACTGAATTAAAAGCTCAATATGATGTTAGAACTTGATTGCTAAAGTTTTTATACATATAAATTAAAACCTTTATTGTAATAAAAATTCATTATACTTTTAATAACCAGTGAAAAATTGTTTCAAATATCCAATCCTATTTTAACCTGAAAAACTGCGTTTTCGTTCAGTGTGTTAAATTCCTTCCCTTTTTAATGGCTAATACTTTTCAGTGTCTCATCTTTCTAAAATTAAGTTATAGTTCATTTTTAAATACCTCATACATGGAGTATTTGTGATTTTGGTTTTATTGTTTTGTTTTTCGAGACAAGGTTTCTCTGTAGCTTTGGAACTTGTCCTGGAACTACCTCTATAGACCAGGGTAGCCCTTGAACTCACAGAGATCTGCCTGCCTCTGCCTCCTGAGTGCTGAAATTAAAGGTATGTGCCACCACCACCCAGCTATGAATTTGGTTTTTAAAAACAGGGTCTCACTGTTATTTCAGACTGGCTAAAATATAACTCACTGCATAGCCCAGGCTAACTCAGACCTCTCAGAGCTCTGCCTACATTAGTCTCTCAAGTGCTGGGATTACAAGCGTGAGCCATAACTTAGTAGCTGATTTTTGGTGATTGACTTTTTTGAAGTTTGTCATATAGTTAAAAGGAATTTAATTCAATCAGAGGAATGAAAAAGTCCTTCATATTTTTTTTTCTTGTCTCAAGAATTTTTTTTGAAAACTCTCCTTTGGTGCTTACTAGTTTGAAATGGCACTTCCTAAAAAAAAAAAAAGCGTTTGTGTATGTGCATGTGTATGTATTGATGTGTATGCACCCGTAGAAGCCTAGGAGGGCCTAGTCTGCTCTGCAGCACTAGTCCTGGGTACGTGCTGCTGGATAGTATAAGAAGCAAATCATGGACAGCAAGCCAGTAAGCAGCACTCCTCGGTGGTCGCTGCTTCCATTTTTGCTTCCAGGGTCTTGTCTTTCTTGAGTTCCTGCCCTGACTTCCTTTGACCATGGACTATGATGTGGAAGTACAAGCTGAAGTAAATCCTTTCTTACAAAACTGCATTGGGTTATGGTATTTTATCACAGCAATAACCAAGATAATCCTAACTAAGACAATTAAGTGCTATTAGTATTCTGTTTCTTGTCCCCCTAAATCAAACATAATGACAAAATAGTAAAAATTAATATGACTAGTGAGCATTTTTCTTCTTGGATGAATTCTATTTTAAAGTTAATGTTTCTGAATTAGTAGTTTGAAATATAAATATTTATGGTAGTATAAAAGAATTTTAGCAATCTGAGTTTTACTAAAAATGATAAAATATTATTATATTTGGAAATATCTTACTAATCTGTATTTTCTGTTTTGCATTTGAAAGGTTGCTCTTGAATCGAGACCCGTCTTTTAAATCTGAGTTCTGTCTTCATTCTGCTGAGAATGGAATGTGGAAAGGTGAGAAACCTTTTACTAGATGTTGTCAGTGTCCCAAGTATTATCATTCTGTTAACTCCTTATTTTATGTTACTCTTCTTCATTAATGTCGCACAACTTCTTACATAGATTTATGACAGATCCTAAGATCCCTTAAAATCTGGAATGGGAATAGCAGTGGGAACTGTAGCTTCCAGGGGCCATGTAGGGCTCCTAGAAAAGGTGCAAAGCATTGGAGTGGACCTGGACTGCTCTCCTCATCATCTTATAATCTCTAGCTTCACTCTAAAACCTATTTTTAAAAGGTTGTAAGAGTACAAGATAACATTTAAAAATTTTCCATGGTTTATTATTTATTTTTAAAGCTTAGAACACAGTGTTAGGAATTTTCCTAATACAAGCTCTCTGCCTATGCAAATTCCCAATCAAGCCAAATCAAAACAAACCAAAATTAAGAAATATCCAGGTTTAATGGGATTCCTGAACTCCCCGGGGGGGGGAACCAGGAGGCCATGAACTTGACCACCAGGAGGAAGGAAAAGGAACCATGTGATCCTCTATTGGGAGTTTACTTAAATACTCTGTGGGAGTGGTCCTGATCCCCCCAGCGAGGGGTCAGGACCTGGCATGCTGGGATTTGGAGTCCAGACCAATACAACTCTCAGGCCTGGGGTCTACCCTCCCAACTTAACACACAGAGTAATGAATTCCTTTATGGCATTTTCATACATATATGTTATTAAAGTTCTTATTTAATCCCCCATCACTAAGACACATGTGTATGTGTGTGTACAGATATACATGTGTGTTTGAGTATACATGCCTATGTATATGCATGTATTTGGAAGGACAACTGCGGTGAGCTCCTTGATCAGCAGGAAGGAACAGCCACCAGACGAGGATTCTTCTCAAATCACGCTTTATTGGAGCCTATTGGTTGTAGGGAGAGCAGAAAGCAAGGGGCAAGGGGCTCTGAACTATAGCTGCTTATATAGGGAGTCTGCCTAGCAACTTTTGATACTTTGATACTTTAACTATTTTTCTGGAGACCCACCGGCAGGAAAGAAAGCAGGGGAACATCCCTGCCAATTACAGACCAGATGTTCCCCTGCCGGTCAGGGGAAGTGTGGGCAGCTAGATCACAACAACTCACCCTGATTTCCGGTGGAAGAACTGCAACCCTAATATGGAGTTATCTATCAAGCGAGGCTGGGGCCAAATGCCATCTTGTAATGGCAGCTATTCAAATCAGCTCCCAGCAGACAACTTCATGTGTCATCTCTCAGGCATACACCTTTTTTCTCCTGGAACTTATCAAGTTACACTGCTTGTCACCAGGGAATCCTCCTGTTGAGACTCTTGTGTCCCAGCATGTGGTCTGTTTTAGAGAAAGTTCCATGGGCTGCTGAGAAGAATGTGTATTCTTTAGTGTTAAGTGTCCTGTAAATACCTGTTAGGTCTGTTTGATTTATGATGTGATTTAACTACAGAGTTCTATTTAGTTTTTTTCCCAAATTACCTGTCACTGGTGAAGGTCGGAGTATTGAATACCCCACTCTCACTGTGCTGTAATCGATCTGTGGTCTTAAGTCTAATAGGGTTTCTTTTATGAATTGAGTGATCCTGTTTGGTGCATATATGTTTAGGGTTCTAATATCCTGCTGTTTTCCTTGTAATGAGTATAGAGTGTCTCTCCCATCTTTTCTTTTTTAAAGAAATCTTATTGATTTTTATTGAGCTCTACATTTTTCTCTGCTCCCCTCCCTGCCTCTCCCCTCACCTTCAACCCTCTCCCAAGATCCCCATGCACCCAATTTACTCAGGAGATCTTGTCTTTTTCTACTTCCCATGTAGATTAGATCTATGTATGTCTCTTTTAGGGTCCTCATTGTTGTCTAGGTTCTCAGGGATTGTGATTTGTAGGCTGATTTTGTTTTCTTTATGTTTGAAAACCACTTATGAGTAAGTACATGTGATAATTGTTTTTCTTTGTCTGGGTTACCTCACTCAAAATGATGTTTTCTAGCTCATTCCATTTGCCTGCAAAATTCAGGAAAGGCACCAAAGCTAGAGAGAAACCTTGTCTTGAAAACAACAACAACAAAAAACAAAAATTTATTAGATCTTGTTTTCTGATCTAATCTGTTAGTCTTTGTGTGTTGGGGGATTGAGACCGTTGATATTAAGCATTACTGAGCTGCATGTGTTATTCCTGACGTTTGTTACCACCCTTGTTCTGGAAATGTTGTTTCCTGTGTCTTCCTGAGCATGCTCTTCGATCTTCAGGTCTAAGCATTCCTTTCTGTATCCTATGGTGATCATAGTTTTTTTAAAATCTTGAAAGTTTTCATTTTCCTTCCACTATGACCAGAAGTTTTTCTGGGTTATATTTGTGCTCTTTAATAACTTGCAGAACATTGGTCCAATTTCTTCAGGCTTTCGGTCTCCATTGAAAAATCAGTTGTTAATTCTGATGGGCCTGTCTTTCTATGGGACCTGAGCTTCCTCTCTTGGTGCTTTCAGTATCTTTTCTTTGTTCTGTCACTTAGTGGTTTTTTTTTAAAGATTTATTTATTTATTATGTATGTATGTATACCTGCACACCAGAAGAACTCACTAAATGTAAGCTACCATTTGGTTGTTGGGAATTGAACCCAGGTCTTCTGGAAGAGCACCCAGTGCTCTTTGCCTCTGAGCCATCTCTCCAGCCCCCACTTAGTGTTTTGATACGGTGTGGGGAGTGTGTTTCCTGGTTCTGTTAGGTATTCTGTATGCCCCTTGGACCAATGGGCATTTCTTTTCCTTATAGTAAGGAAGTTTATGTTTTGTTGAAAATATTTTCTGTGCATTTGATCTCAGCCCCTTATTCCATTCTTCTTTTTCTATTATTAATAGATTTGGTCTTTTTATAGTGTTCCTGACTTCCTGCAAGTTTCATTCTCAGGTGGATTGTGTGTGTGTGTGTGTCTGTCTGTGTAATTCAGCATTCTCTCCAATCCAGTTCCTCTGTCTTCAAGATCTGATGTTCTCTCTTCTGTTTGATCTGATGTATCCAGTGAATCTTTACTCTTTAATTTTTGTTTGAATTTCCTAATTTTTTATTTCAAGTTTTATTTTATTTTGGCTTTTCTTTTTTTTTAAATTTCATTTTCATATATTGAGTTGATTTTGTTATTCATCTATTTATGTTTTATTTCCAGCATTTATTTGATCTTGCTTATTATTGCTATTTTGAAATCACTTTCTTGTATGTCATCTAAGTCACTTTTCTTTGGGGACATTACTATGTGAGAATCATTTTTGGAGGAGACCTATATTTTTGTTTATTCGTACTTTTGCATTTGCAATGGGAATTAGGTCATTGGTAATGTTTCTTGGTATGAGAATCTAGTTTCTCTGTTTACTGAGTGTTGGAGGTATATTTCCTCTTGCCCCCAACTTTTCAGAGGTTTGATCAACTGTGTGGGCCTTGGGGTCTTAGGAATGCCTTTAGGCAATTCATTGTTAATGGTCAATGGGGTATCAGAAGTAGACCCAGTCCAGGTTGAGCTAAGGAAGGTTTCTAAGCAGGATCAGACTTGATTCCCACAGCTAGTCTTCAGGAGCCTGGGGGAGGTGTTTAAAGCTTTTCCTCAGGCAGCCTGTGATGGATCCCTCCATTTTGAGAAAACTTATGCCTGCTGAGGACTTTCTTTCTGTGTCGTTTTTTTAAAAAATCATGATTCTATTTCCTTTAATTTTCCTGCAAATACAAAATTTGATTTTTTATTGATATTTTGACATGCATTTAATTAATTTTTTTTAAATTTATTTATTTATTAAGGATTTCTGCCTCCTCCCCGCCACCTCCCATTTCCCTCCCCCTCCCCCAATCAAGTTCCCCTCCATCATCTGCTTGAAGAGCAATCAGGGTTCCCTGACCAGTGGGAAGTCCAAGGACCGCCCACCTCTATCCAGGTCTAGTAAGGTGAGCATCCAAACTGCCTAGGCTCCCCCAAAGCCAGTACGTGCAGTAGGATCAAAAACCTATTGCCATTGTTCTTAAGTTCTCAGTAGTCCTCATTGTCCGCTATGTTCAGCAAGTCCGGTTTTATCCCATGCTTTTTCAGACCCAGTTGGTGAGTTCCCAATAGAACATCCCCATTGTCTCAGTGTGTGGGTGCACCCCTCGCAGTCCTGAGTTCCTTGCTCGTGCTCTCTCTCCTTCTGCTCCTGATTTGGATCTAGAGATTTCAGTCCTGTGCTCCAATGTGGGTCTCTGTCTCTGTCTCCTTTCATCGCCTGATGAAGGTTAATATTCAGGAGGATGCCTCTGTGTTTGTCTTTGGATTCACCTTCTTATTTAGCTTCTCTAGGAACATGAATTATAAGCTCAATATCCTTTATTTATGGCTAGAAACCAAATATGAGTGAGTACATCCCATGTTCCTCTTTTTGGGTCTGGCTTACCTCACTCAGGATAGTGTTTTCTATTTCCATCCATTTGTATGCAAAATTCAAAAAGTCCTTGTTTTTTACTGCTGAGTAATACTCTAATATGTATATAATCCATACTTTCTTCATCCATTCTTCCGTTGAAGGGCATCTAGGTTGTTTCCAGGTTCTAGCTATTACAAACAATGCTGCTATGAACATAGTTGAGCATATACTTTTGTTGTATGATAGGGCCTCTCTTGGGTATATTCCCAAGAGTGGTATTGCTGGGTCCAGGAATAGGTTTATCCAGAATTTCCTGAGAAACCGCCACACTGCTTTCCAGAGTGGTGGCACAAGTTTGCATTCCCACCAGCAATGGGTGAGTGTACCCCTTTCTCCACAACCTCTCCAGCAAAGGCTATCATTGGTGTTTTTTATTTTAGCCATTCTGACAGGTGTAAGATGGTATTATAAAGTTGTCTTGATTTGCATTTCCCTGATCGCTAAGGAAGTTGAGCATGACCTTAAGTGTCTTTTGGCCATTTGAAGTTCTTCTGTTGAGAATTCTCTGTTCAGCTCAGTGCCCCATTTTATAATTGGGTTGA